TTTTTATTAAAACCTTGTTAAAAAATTTTTTAAAATAAGCATTTGAATCTTAAACTTTCGAAAAACTTACTAAAATTATTATCTATTTGGAACTTCAAAAGGTTGTTTAACTGGTCCTGGGAATCTGCTTCTTTTACCTCAAGGCTGCTATACAAAAAAACGTGTTCAGTATAGGCCGAGATGCCAACAGCCATCTGCTGTTTATTTGGTTGAAGAAGCAAGCCTGTTTTTAAAAAACGATATGTACGACTTACGAAAAAAATATTTAAAGTTTCTTAGCTCAAAAACCCTTGCACGATAAGTTTTGCTGGTAGTTTAACTTACGATGCAAAAAAACAAATTCATCTGCGGATTCTGGACGTAAAAATTCGCTATTCATTTTGTCAATGCAAAAATTTTCTGCGGTTTCAAACGTGACTGTTTCGTTGATCACCTCTGTCTCGCCAAACATTTCCTTAGAAAGCTGAAAAACTATGAGTTTCTAATGGTTTCAAGCCGAGTGAGAATGAGAAGTAGTAGTTTGTGCTTATAATTTCATTTTATTTGTGTAATGCTTAAAAGTCCGCTGTACTCGAGATCGAACATTACGTTAATCTGTGTATATAACACAAAGTATTTTAAACAAGAAGTACCTTGATCTGCTTTACGATCTTGCGAAAATGTAAAATGTCATAAAAGGTATTTGGTTACGTTTTCACCTTGAAGTCATAGAGGCAATAGTGGCGCTCTCCGTCGTTTACTGAAACGCTTTCTGGTGGTTGCAAGAAGTAATCCTGTAGAGAAAAATACGTCGGACACTTATTCTGATCAACCTCTTAAAAATTTGAATTAATTACACTTATTGCATTGTTTTAAATTCTGTCTCTTATTGCATTTTTTGTGCTTTTATAAAAGCATCTTCTAAAAAGACACCTAGTAAAAAGCTAAATAAAAGTTGCTGTTGTATTTTTTTTTTCATAGTACTCGTGAAAATTTTGATTTTTCAAAATAGTTAGTTTTTTCTTTTAAATGAAACTTAGAAACAAAAGTAAATTTGTATTTTGTCAAGAACTGACAATGCAGTGTGTTAAAAAATTCTGTACCTTACGTTAATGATGTGACATGCAAATTTTAAATGTCCACTAATTTTTTGTAAGAAGGAAATGAAGAATCCCAAAGGTTTTGCAGCAGTTGCAAACTGTACTTAGAGACTTTCCAAAGTCTAAAAGTATAGATAAAAAATTAAAAGAACAAAATGAATGTAGTACGTGGCGGGGAATGCAGCAGAATTTTTAAATCTTCGCCAAAAATGAAAGTAACTGCAACTGAAAGAATGGTAAGTGAAAACAGGTGGTTGATTATTGAAAAGATATTTGCATAATTTTTAAGCATCGGTTGTGGAAGAGCTTATAGAACTTTATTGACCTGCCTAGCCTTTAACGAAGTAGCAGTAAGAAAAACTTTTTGCTTGCTTAGACCTGAAATGAAGATTGCAATTTGTGCATAACTTTTAAAGCGTCGACAAAATTTTCTTGGGAAAATCACGACTGTTTTTCACTCTAAAAAAAGGCCCTAAAAACGGAGAGAGCAGAAAAAATATCTGCTTTTGAGACTAGGCGTAAAGTCATTTGCTTAAGTAGTTACAGAAACAGTTATGGTAACAATGTTCCCAAGTGCATATTTTTAGCAGAAAGTATGTATTCATTCTCACTCAGGAAACGACCAAAAGCCAAGTTGTATGGTTTTTTGCTCCACAAGCTGTGAAAAGTTAACTTGTTTTATTGCCTTTGATATTAAATGTCAATAGACGCCAAATATTATTTAGATCTTGATCAAAGACTAACAAAATAAGTCTTAGTAAACAAAATTTTGAAAAACTTCTTATTTGTCAGATGATGTCCAATTTCAGCGAAATAATATGTTACCTTACGTGGCCTGACTAATAGAGTTAGCCATATACTAATTTAAGTAAGAAATATTGCCACCCCTTTTTGTTTTCCAAATCTACCTCACGATAGCTTTTAAGTACTTAATAAAATAAAAGCTTTTTGCGATGCCACTTTTGGGAAACCAAAGTTTGGCAACCTGAGCCTGAACAGCTTGAGCGTCAATAAGAAAAACTTTGAAGGCTTTCTTTTGGATGGTTTAAGAAGACTGATTTTTATAAAGGAAACTTTATGAAATTTAAGAGTGATCACGCTGAAACACGCACGTATAACAGTGATAAACTATAAATAAGTGAAAAAACATCATAAAGGAAAAAACAAAATTAACAAAAAGAACATCATAACGGTATTTCTAAAGTTTTATAAATGCTTTTTTGCTTTTTTTAATTGGAAAAGCGAGCAACAAAAGTATTAGTTATTCCGAATAAAATAAGCAACTGTTTTCTAAAGCTAAAAACAGTTTAGTCGCGCAAACAAACCTACCGTATGACAGTTTTTCCTTTAGAAAACCTTCCTAAAAATCAGTTTTTTATATTGTGTTTTAATTTTCCATGAGATTTAATAATTGAGTTTCGTAAGATTCACGGAACTGCCGCACTTTAGCGCATTGTATCTCAGTGAACAATTGGACTCCAAAAAAAGGTTTAGGTGGTTGTCAGCCAAAACACACTTTCAATCACTGAAACTACCAAAAATGGAGATAAAGCTTACCAGTTTGTAACAAGCCTCAGATACTTCAGAATTTCTGGCGCAAGGCCGTTTGTATCTGTGCGCAACTGTAAAAGCGATTATACACAGATTCTGCAACTTTTGCTGGGTCACACATTAAACAAATTTTTTTTACTTAGTTTTCTAAATCTCTCAGACAAATGTCTATGAGTGCGCATTGATAAGTTTTGGATTTGACTGACTTAACTTACATCATATTTTTTTCAATTTTATGAACTTACCGTGGAACTTACACAGCACAGAAAATTCGTCCTGATCGCTACCGGTCTCATACCACGCCATTGTTTCCCTATCAGCAAACACGCGAGTATTTTCTTCATTCCCTCTCATTGTGTGAAACCGATTATTTTCAATCTGTTTTTCTATGTAATCTCCATTCAGTCCATCATGCCACTCCCAAGTATTGTCGTTCTGTGATAGTCCAAGCCAAAAGTATCTGGTCACAGCAAGCTCTTGAAATATTAGTATTACTAACTTTTGTGGAAATAAAAATTGAGTTTAGGAGAGCTCCAGGTTATTTTCTAACGCAACTTTACTTTTGCTCTTCACAGTCTCAGTTCTGCTGCAGCAGATCATTAAAATTGAAGCTAATTTGTTTTACGCTGTTTCAGATTTTGAAAGGAAGCTAGCGCAGCATAGATAAAACGAAAGTTGTAGGAATAAAATTTGATACTTTCTAACACACGTTCTTCTTTCTCGTCCACGAATGAAGCCAAGAATCCGCCTTCATTAGCACATATCTGCACAGCAGTTTCATATCTTACTAAACTTCCATACTGAAATAGAGGTGGCTGCCTTCTAGCTAAGAATAGTCCAAATAGTTTGGTTTATTGGTGTATATCATAGATTCGCTGAGAATGGATTTCATCGTTGAAAAAATCAACTCAAAAACCAATTCTTAGTGTGACACACATAAAAAATTTTCACTCTTTCCCACTCATCTGTCTGTAACTCCGAAACCCAAAATTTCTCCACTCTAAAGTTTCACATTTTTTGTTTTACAGAGCAGACGATTTTGTACAACTGTTATTAATTGAAAATGCCACTTTTTTGCAGTTTCTTAAAACAAGTTATCTTTTTTTTGATTTTTAAAAGATAATACAACATATTATACAACTAAAATATTATTTAAAACCTAAAAACACGGATCTTCAAATCAATCTAAAGAAATAAAACACCACTCATAAAGCATAAACGTACATACTCTTAAAGTGCATAATCGTGCGAAAACCTGGAAAATTTTTTCACTTTGGCTTGATATAACCTAACAAGCGATTCCAGATTTTTAGGTTTCCTCTTCGGCATTTTAGAGAAGATAGCTAGCGAGAAAATCTGAAAAATAATAGAATATTTATTAAAATATCTAACTTAGTTTTTTCGGAACACCGTTTCTAACGCGCCAAAGCCTAGAACGCATCCTTCAGTTTATATTGCGCAGAAGATTATTGTATTCTGGGGTGCGTAACGGGTCAAGCACATTGCTGTCAACGGAATTTGAAGTAAGTTCAACGGAATTTGAAGTAAGAAACTAGCAAATAATTTTAATCAATTACAGCTTCTCTTGAACTTATACCAAAAAAAAACCGAAAAAAAAACAATTCATTAGACTGTTTATTTGACCACTTCTGCACGGTGTCTGAAAGCAAAAAAGGATTTCTGAACTGGAGTTAACACAACTTTATTCCGCATTCACATACCGGCAAAAGCTAAATTGCAAGCACCATCAAACACTCTACGCGTAGAGTTCTAGCGCCAGAAAAGCACTAAAACTTTACTATTACGTTTGCGCAACACTACTTATCCTTCTCTCTGTACTATTTCCTTAACAGCTGGTGACTGCCTCGGTATCTCCTTCGAAATTTACTAAGTCAGGTATAAAAGAGATTTATGTAATTGATGATTTATTGTTGCTATAATTTTGTACCGTAGAAAACAGGAGAGTTCCCACAACTGTTCTACGTGTTCTTTTTAAAGCATCTTCAGTTCTCAGGGCAACTTCCAAGTCGAACTTTGAACTTAAGCTGTTCAACTGACACTCACGAACTTCATTATTCTTCTATCTTTCCAAAAACCAGATCCTCCACTGCTTAGAACAGTCAGTTCTTTCATTATTGAAAGCCTGACGTTGCTTCTGAACTCTTTGTTGCGTACACCCGTAAATACCAATAAGATGTGCGAACTAAACTTTTGCTGCTCGCGGCAACCTTTGTTTAGAAAAGTGTGTGTAACGTTTTTGACAGCTACGGTTACCTGTCTTGCGGGTAATGCAAGGAGTGCCGATCAAAGAGCAAGCAAGGTATTAATAGCTCACACAACGAATTTAAAACACCTATGCAGATTAGAAAACCACTTTTCCAACTGCGAAGTAATGTTCTACAAAATTCTGTCACCAGTGACTAACCGTTTTTGTATTCTGGAAGTTATCAGGTAAGATTTTTATAAAGCACAACGAGCAAGGAACTTGTGAACGCTATTTAAATGACGGTAGCTACACTTTTAATGGCTTTCAGCATATAGCAAAAATTTTTTCTCAGAGTTTCAGCCTTCTTGATGCATTATTTCGACAACAGTATTAATGTTAAAGTGGCAGCTTAGAAGTGTAACGTGAATGCGGTTTTGAGAAGCAGACAGTGAGTGGAAGTTAAATTTAGTGTAACATAAATTTTAATAGCACATTGAGTGACTTTGGAACAGACTTACTGCAAAGTAACAGTATTCACCATATTTCATCGTATAAGGTGGACATTTGTCTTTACCCACTAAAATAGAAGACGTAAATTTAAAGTGACAAATTTTTTTAATATTAATTCTTTAAATTTTTTAAGAATAGCCGGCGGCAAATAGTTCCTACTGCTTTTTCATAACAGCTGTAAGGTCAGTTCAATAAACTGCAAATGTGTTTCATCTGTAGCAGTATTTGAGTAGTAAATTCCTGCTTTGTTCAGTTTCAAAAATTAAAAAAGCTCGAAAGCTTTTCTGTTAATACTGTTGTGAGAAAATGTTAACTTAACTGTATTCCTCAAAATAAACGTCGTATGTTTTAGAACATTTTCGCCTCAACAATTCTTCACCAACTACTGCAGGGCATGATTTTAAATTAGATGGGGTAATTGGCTTTCGCAACTCTTGTGGATCTGGAGATTGATGCACTAATTGTTTAATCTTCCTTCGTCCCACCCAGATCTTTTCATCTTGTTTAACAGCTGCAAATTGCAAATGACTGTTTTAGACATATCTGATCAAAATGTTTAAAAGAAAAATGTCGGTATAATGTAAAATTATAGAAGAAAAAGAACTTACTACTTAAAAAATTTATTTCTTCAATTGTAACCAAGCTGGTTAAATTGGAGTACATTTCTCTGCATTTTTTGCTCGCCTCTTTGCGTTGGGTATGTGTTCCTACCTGTTTTATGCAACACTTTTCAGTATATTTTCAAAATACAAAAAGATTTAAATACAAAAGCATTTTTTTTTTTGCTATTGGTATTGTAAAAATTTTAGTTAATTCAAAGTTTATTCTAAATTTGTACGATTCACAAGCTTTAAATAATTGTTTCATTTAAAATTAATCAAATGTTTGAAGTTAAAAGAATTAAAGAGTACGTAATGGTAACAGTTTCCGTTGAATTCATCCCAACCCTCAGCGCAACTAGACAATCTTAGTTCTGAAATAACTTTGAAAAGCATGTAAGGTATGCACTTCTAGCCTCAAACTTTAGTAATTTTTTAGATAATAAGATACAAAAATTTTTTTATTGTCGGTGAAACAAAATAGTGCTGAAACGCGCAAAAATTTTGTTGTATTTTAAGATCTTTCGCAATTTCACTGCACAAAATTTATAAAATCTTGAACTTTCCTGCTACAAATTTTTTTGTTCTTTTAGCGAGCAACTGCTTGTTAGCAACAGTAAATTCTTTTTCAAAATATTTTACTACTGGTAATGCTTTATTACAGAAAATGAATTCTCACTTGACTTCTTGCAGACAAATGGAAGCTGTTCTTTACAGTCAGTGGGATTAATTGTTGTTGCATTAAAACTATAGCACTCATAAGATCGACTTTCATCGTTGATGAAACGTGGAGTATCATAATCCCATTCAAGGAAAGAAGAGTGCTTTACGTTACCAAGCCAAATCTTCTTTTTAAAGTCAGTTTTCTAAATGTTCACTGAGTAAACAAAGCTATGCCTCATTATTCGTTCCATTTTAATGTTCCCGCACCGATAACAAAAATTTACAGAAAATAACTTACGATTGCTCGAAAATTTTCGTACTCTGCCTTACTTTCAAAGGTAAGTATCATTTTTTTCTGCTCGGAAGTTAAATTTTCAAAAGTCTCTGAGTAGAATGAAGCATTGCGGTACTGAAAAAAATTTGCTTTTCAATTCCTTTTGGTAAACACAGTATTTTAAAGGCGGTAGCGATTGCAACGGTGAGCCTTTTTAGGCAATAATTTATAAGTTTTCTTTTTTTTTTTCTGTTAATAACAGTAATAGCGGTAGTAAAAAATAACAATAATAATAAATAATGGTTCGTTCTAAACTTCAGTTTTTTAAGCGATAATTGTTCAAGATTTATTA